ATATCCAAAACCGCCTGCACCTTCTCCGGGTTCACTTCCATTCCCCTTTCTGTTACCATGTAACCCAGGAATTTTCCCGTTTTCACCCCAAAAGCACACTTATTGGGGTTAAGCTTCATGCCGTAGTGTCGGAGCGTGCAGAAGGTTTCTTTTAAATCCTCTAAATGAGTGCTCGCCTTTTGACTTTTCACCAACATATCATCCACGTATATCTCCATGTTCCTTCCGAGTTGGTCCCTTAACATTTTGTCTACTAGTCTCTGGTACGTGGCTCCCGCATTTTTCAGCCCAAAAGGCATTACCGTGTAGCAATAAGTTCCAGTGGAGGTGATGAAGCTCACCTTGGGCTGGTCGTCAGGACACAATGGAATCTGATGGTACCCTTGCGAGGCATCCATCATACTTAGCATCTCGCAACCGGCGGTTGAGTCTACGAGCTGGTCGATTCGTGGCAGAGGGTAGTAGTCCTTGGGACATGCTTTGTTGAGATCCCTGAAGTCAATGCACATTCGCCACTTTCCCTCGCCCTTCTTGACTAAAACTGCATTGGATACCCAAGTAGGAAAACAGATCTCCCGGATCTGTCCGGCTGCTAACAACTTCTGCACTTCTTCCTGTATAATTTTGTCTTTCTCTGCTCCAAAATGCCGACGACGCTTTTGCTTGACTGGCCTCGCATTCTGCCTGACATTCAGTCTGTGCACCACGAGCTGCTCGTTGATACTCCCGAGATCTGCTGGGGTGAACGCGAACACATCTTGATTCTGCCTCAAAAACTCTGCCAGCTGTCGAGCCATGTCTGCGTCTAAACCGCCACCTATGCGGGTGGTGCGAGAGGCATCCTTCTCGCATAGTTGAATTACCATTAATTCCTCCATTGGCTTCACATGGGCTTCTTCTTTTGCGGGGTCTACCTCCGGTATCCGGTCCTTCTTCCCCTGGCTACCTGGGGAAACAGTGCGAATAGTATCTATGTTTCCTATTCTTCTCAAGGCGTCATAATAACACCTCCTCGAGGTCTCTTGATCCCCTCGGACCTCCCCGATTTGATCTAAGACGGGGAATTTCAGCTTCATATGGTAAGTTGAGACTACTGCTTGAAATGAGTTCATGGATGGTCGCCCCAATATGATGTTGTAGGTGGAAGGCGCATCCAGTACCAAAAACTTCACGGATCGTGTTGCTCGCACCGGCTCCATTCCTAGAGAAATGGGCAGGCATACCTCTCCGACCGACCGCACCGACTCTCCCGAGAACCCGACCAAGCTTGTCTCTACATACTTTAACTCGAAATCCATATTCATCTTTCTGAAACAATCATAGTAGATAACATCAGCGGAACTGCCGGTGTCCACTAGTATCCTCGCGATATCGAAATTGGCCACCATGGCAGTAATCACAAGGGCGTCAGAATGTGGCTGCCTGATTCCCTCCTCGTCCTGGGGACCGAAAATAATGGGCGGCACGTAAGATATTCTTTGCACCTCCTCGAGCTGAGCTTCCATCTCGTACAAGCGCCGGAGGTGCGCGCGGCTTGCCCGATCTGCCTCCTCTATCTCTCCAAATAACTCCTCAGTCTCTCGCAACTATCTCAGGTGCGCCCGTCGGGCCCTGTTGGAGTCTCCCACTGAAGGTCCTCCCAAAATCATGCTGATGAAGTTTGCAGGCGCCACCTGGTCCTTCCTCTCATTCAGCTTTTCCCTTCCCGGCTCAGGTTTGCGGGGCTCGCTCGCACGCCGAGCTGGGAACTGTTGCGGGCGCTGGTTCCCTTCTTTCACAAATTCTGGCAGATTCTTCGCGCGTATGAGCCTCTCGATTTCGTCACGAAGGTGCTGGCATTCGTTGGTGGTGTGGCCATAATCATTATGAAAACGGCAGAAACTCTCTAGCGTGGGGCTTCTCTTCGGGGCTTCTGCATACGTGCGAGGCCACTTTAACTTTGGGTTATTCTCTATGGCCAACAATATCTCTCCTGGTTGTGCGACTAGCGGTGCATAGCTGTCAAAACGAGGTCCTATTTTTCTCTCGTTCTGCACCTCCCTTCTCGCCAGTTGAGTCGGCTTCTGCATTCTAACCTCTTTCTTTTCCCTTTTTGCCTCCCCTTGCCCTCGCCAAATTTATTATGCACTGCCTCCTCCGCGTTCATGTATCGCTCGGCCTTTTTCAACAAAGCATTAAAAGATGCGGGAGGCTTTTTCGAGAGCGAAGTGAAGAAATCGCCAGCCCGCAGCCCTTGTGCGAGAGCGCTAATCAAAACTTCCTCTGAGGTAATTGGTACCTCTAAGGTCGCCGAGATGAAACGCTTGATAAAACTTAAGTACTCTCCTTCCCTTTGCCTGACCGCGAACAGAGTCAAGGTGCTCCTCTTTTGCTTCTTTGAGCTCGCGAAGTGATCCATAAAACATGCGCTTAGCTGGTCGAAACCGCCAATTGTGCCGGCAGGCAGCTGGCTGAATCAGGTTTGCGCGGCTCCCGCCAACGTAGTCGCGAAGACTCGACACTTCACTCCCTCAGTGAATCGGTGCAAATCCGAAGTGTTATTGAAGCGACAGAGATGCTCAAAAGGGTCGGTTGTCCCCAAATATTCGTAAGTGACAGGCCGAAATGAGTGTGGCAGGTCGTCATCCAGAATGTTGGCTGAGAAAGGGCTTAATGCACCGAGCGAAGAACTTGCGCGGGCGGGCCCCTCGTTCCCTAGCCCCACCATCTCCCCCATCCTTCTTTTCGGAGACGCCGCTTCGGGCTCCTTTAGAGCGCGAACAGAGCCCTCCTGGACAGCGCTCGCCAAGAGTGCCTGCAGGTTTTCCATAGTCATGGCGACCATAGGGCTACCTCCCGCAGTGCCGGTTACTTGAGGCGTCTCCTCTCTCGTGGCAGAGGCCTCTCCGACAGCTGGTTGGTGCTCCGGCGGGGCTGGGGTTGCTTCTGACTCCATCTGACTGGTTAGATCCCTTACTATGCTGGGAAACGAGGCCATTGATAAATGTATACTGATTAACGGAAAATAGATAAAGGTGTTATAAAGGGAAACGTCGCCACAGCTTTGCTTAACGGTTTCCCACAGACGTTGCCATTTGATCCGGCTGGATTCGTGGTGGGTTGGTTTAGAAAGTTGAGTAGGCCTGAACTTGGACCGGAGCCCACGATAAACCTACAAGAAAGAAAAGAACCGGACTTAGGCCGGAGTTAGCACTCCGACGGCCAAGTCAGTAACTTCCTGAAGAAGATATTATGCTTATGTATGTAATTGATGTATATGATTTCGTTGTGGTTTTCCTGTATTTACTGCCCCTATTTATACTAAAAAAAGGGGACGGACGTCAAATATTCTTCAATTTAATTTACCTGTCCAATCGCGGTAATTTAGGCATTCGGACCCCAAATTACCTTCAATGCAGTTTAATATGTCATTTCATTGGCGGCTGCGGGGGCAAAAAGTAGGGGCCGAAGAGACATTCCTCTGCGCTTGTCAGTGGATTGGACGTGCATTAAATACCCCCATGTGCAGCAATGATCATCTCCGGTCGGGGGCGAGCAGCTTGGCGAGAGACGCGAAGCTGCTAGGCGAGAGTGTGAGGCAGCGAGAGGACTCTCGCTCGCGTGCTACTCGCGATCCGTGGCCTAGTTCCTCTCACCCAACCAGTACCAGTTTGATGGGCCCTCTTCTGTTAATGGGCTTAAACGGTGCATTTTGACCTCGTTTGGGCCTTTGGTCCTTATTGGATCCATCAAGCGATCCCGGGCTGGATCACCAGCCTCACTGGAATCTCGGTCGTTGTTCCAACAATACCGAAAAAGAGGTTTACCGGCATATAAACTCCGACGATTAAGTTAGAAGAGAGATTTTATGTATAGTGCGTATTATAATTTAAAAAAACATTATAAAGTAAAAAAGTTTGAGTGAAACTGCTATTTATCAAGGTTGTAAAAAGCGGTAATCGGGTCCGAGTTGGTCAGGCACCGACTCACGATTAATCGGTGCGGCGGTGATTAATCGATGATAAATCGGAAATAAATCGATTTTAAAATTTAATATAATATATTTCTATATATTATTTATAAATACTCCAAACATATATAAAAAGATATTTAAACATAGTTATATCTTCATCATGTATATATCCTAATAACATAATAAAAGTTTAATAATTATAAGATCATAATACATAATATCCTTATAAAATATAATAAAAAGGCGAATTTTTTGAAATTACATTTGTTCTTGACCATTCCTAGCATACATCATTAGTTATTTAACAATAACAATTAACTTAAACAAAATAAGGCATAAACTCAAATTTTCTTTTATTAAAATCCCAACTTTTATTTTGAATTATAAAAGAAAAAAAAAAACAACCACCGATTTTTGGCCGATTTTTGCCACCGACTTTGACCCGCCTTAAAAGTTTGACCGCCTAAAACCGCCTCACAGACAAAAAACCGATTTTTCAAACTTTTACACTAAAATCGTAAAGGTTTTGGACCACTTCCGCCTCGGAGACCGATTAATCGGCCGTCTCGGCCGATTTTTGGAACACTGCTATTTATAGATATTTCGTTTCTTGAGATTAAGTTTTACTAAGGTTTCTAACCTAACTACCTTCTCATTTGAGTTTGCCGCATTTAATGAACTTTTAGATCAAGCCTCAACTCGCCTAAGACCCGGACCCGAGGTCATAGCATAGCGCGCCTTATGGCTTTACCCATCGTCGTGCCACATAAACGTGGGCTTTTATTTTTTAGCTTTATGTGCAATTTGTCTTTTTTATTTAGACGAGGCCCATATGGTCCAACCCCATTTCCCACGTGTTGTTCTTCGGAAAAAAGAGAAAAAAAAAAAATACAGAAGAAAGAACACGCAACCGGTCATTATCGAACGAATTAAGAAAATAGAAAAGTAAAATAAGGGGTAGAAATGAGAATATCGGAAGTTGAGGGGTGAAACTGATTGTATACATTATTATACAGTACACTGCAACAGTATGTAAGCGAGTCCACAAATAGGAAGTTGCCTTGTACCGATTACGTGCTCTGCTTTCTTTTCAGTAGAGAGAGAGAGAGAGAGAGAGAGAGAGAAACAATGGCGGTACTTCCACAGAAGGCTTTTGGTTTGGCGGCGACAGATACCTCCGGAGTTCTCTCCCCTTTCAATTTTTCTCGCAGGTGCGTATACCTTTCCGTATGTATATACAGTATATATATATATATATATATATATACGAATTCATTTCCCGATCACTGTACACATTATTTTATTTATATAGATTCAGATACCCTAATTCAAGCCAGTGCTTATCTAGTTGTTTATATGTAGATGCATTTTTAGTTCCTTTTAAAGGCCTGAACAATTATTGTATATTTCAGTTCCAATAATTAATTATTTGATTCGATCTATTTGGTGATAAAATAATCGAATTTTTTGTCTGAGGGCTTATACAATAGCTAATTTGTTCCTAATTACTTGGATGATTATGACTGTGATTGATGAGGAAAAATGATCATCAGATAGGAATTAGCTCGAATTAGTGTTTAGAATGTTTTGCATCTTCTTATGTAAATCTTTACAACTCCATGTACAAATATTTTGCAAGATCTAAGAAACGAAGGTAATGTACTAGTCGATCATATATTGTCGACACCGCATAAACAGCGAATTAGCTCTAATTATTGATATTATGGCAGGGAAAACGGTGCCGATGATGTGACAGTCAAAATACTCTATTGTGGAATTTGCCACTCCGACTTGCATAGTGCAACGAACGAATGGGGTTTCACAAAGTACCCCATAGTCCCCGGGTACATCACTTTGTTATCAAACTTCGACATCTTATTTTTTATGAAACATATACTTATTTCTCGATACAATAACTTATCGGAAGATTTTGGCGTACTCACGAAAGGTTTTTGCATACAGTGAAATTACTTGTCTAGTTTATTTTTCTTGCACGCAGACATGAGATGGTTGGTGAAGTGATCAAAACAGGGGAAAATGTCGAGAAGTTTAAGGTTGGGGATAGAGTTGGAGTCGGAGTGCTAGTAGGTTCGTGTAAAAAATGTGATCTCTGCGAACAAGATCTCGAGAACTACTGTCCTGAACTGATATTGACCTACAACAACACTGACCGAGATGGCACAATGACCTACGGTGGCTTTTCCGATATTATCGTTGTTGACCAGCATTTTGTGCTTCGTTTTCCCGATAATTTACCGTCAGCTGGCGGTGCGCCTTTACTGTGTGCTGGCATCACAGTCTACAGCCCGATGAAATACTATGGAATGACTGAGCCAGGCAAGCATTTGGGTGTAGCTGGGCTTGGTGGGCTGGGGCATATTGCTGTTAAGCTTGGGAAGGCTTTTGGGTTGAAAGTTACTGTTATAAGCACTTCTCCAAAGAAAAAAGCTGAAGCCATTGAGAATCTTGGAGCTGATGATTTCCTAGTCAGTTCTGATCCTGTTCAGTTGAAGGTGAAAATAACTTTTGAAATGTACTCGATTTGTAGTGTCCACTAGTTATTTAGATTGCTGTGATTTTCATGTGGTGCAGTTCATTTACAACGGAATTAATTTTATACATTTTGTTGCACAGTACAAAATTGAAACGCTAAGGTCTCGTTTGGTTTTATTTGACGTTTGGTTAGTGCAATAGCTTCTCTTGGGACCAAATCATAAGATTAGTTAATCTTATCTTGGGACCAAGCGAGGCCTGCGAGTTTGATGAGAGATGGTGTCACTTAAAAGTGAAACCTAAAACTTTTGGATCTTAATGGGCTGCCGCATTTTACAAACTTCTGTTTTTCGTGTCTATTGGTAATTTCATGGCTGGTGTAATCTAAAAATAAATGAGTTGGCGAAATATTTAGCTCCTGCAGTTGAAAGAGAGAAAAAAAATATGATGTTATTTATCTAACAGGACTTTAAATTTCTTGCAGGCTGCTACTGGCACAATGGATTTCATCATTGATACAATTGCTGTGATGCATCACTTGACCCCGTTTCTTGATCTGCTGAAAGTCAATGGGAAACTTATTACCGTTGGCTTGCCAGATAAACCCCTCGAGCTAGCTATTTTTCCTCTAGTTCTTGGTAAGAATAATAATGCTGCTTCCATATATACGTGTGTGTGTATATATATATATGCATGCCAAGAATTTTACAAGCATCTTTTTTTTCGATTAGATTATCGAGGATTTAGCACCCTTTCGATTTTCGATTAGATTAATTTTTCCTCCTTTGGGTATTTCCAGGTCGTAAGCTTGTTGGTGGAAGTAACAATGGAGGCATGAAAGAGGTTCAAGAGATGCTTGACTTTTGTGGAGAGCATGGCGTAACTGCAGACGTTGAAGTGATTCGAATGGACTATGTGAACACTGCTATGGAGCGTCTCGCCAAAGCTGATGTCAGGTACCGTTTCGTAATCGATGTGGCAAACTCCATAGCCGATCTCTGAGTGGATGTAATCATCTGTTTAGCTGATGTGTATATCAGTTTGAAATAAGTCAAGTATGTAGAAATAATAAAACACAATTCCAAACATCATATCTGATATTCGATGTTTGATGTTTAATGTTTGATGTATAAATAAAAATGTCCTGCCTGGCAGACACTGTTGATTTTTCGAACGCCAGGCTGTTTGATTCTATAATTCAGAATTTAAACCAATAAATTCTATTCAGACAGGGTACCTACCATCTTATTTTAGATGTGCTATACAACGTGGTGTTACAATGGCAGCAATGACATTAACATAGGAACTCCCCCGCCCGTCCGCCAGCAGAAATCTCGATCAGCAAATGTAATCCAGAAAGAGAAAAAGAAAAACATTTAGAAAATAATCAGTCTTAATGACTCAAATCCCGCCTCACAAATACATCGAATATTACAACACAAAATCCTTTATCCATAAGCTCAGTTTCAGTCGAACATAAATTATCTTACATAAGAAAAGATAACAATGATTCCTTCCAACTACGGTCAGCAATAATTGCCTCATCACCTTAATGGGCTAACAACCCAGCCAGTAATCGGACTCTGCTTTCGAATTCTACTCGTTCTTTGCGAACCACTCTGCAATCTTTCAAGAATAGTATAAGTGATCGAATCTGGAGTTAACCCCTGTTCTTTAAGCTTCGAATACAAGTCAATGGCTTCTGCACTTCTCCCACACTTTTCAAGACAATCGAGTAAAATATTGTACGTCACAATATTAGGGGAACAACCTTCAGCCAGCATTTCATTAAACAAACTATATGCCATCTCAACTTTATCCGTCTTACCAAAACACTCGATTAGCGTACTATAGGTTACTACATCAGGATTCAAACCCTTCTCTTCCATTTCCTTAAACCGCATGTGGGCTTCATCTAAATCACCGTTCTTCCCCAGACAATTAATCAACGAGTTGTAAGAAACAACGTCCGGTCTGCAATCGCTGCTCTCGAGCTCTTCGAATATTCTAACAGCTTCTTCGACACATCCAGCTCTGCCGAAACTAGAGATCAGAATATTGTAAGTAAACATGTCTGGTTCAGGTCCATCTCGTTTCATTTTCTCGTATAAATCAAGAATATGCGGTATCTGTTTCGATTTTCCAAGTGCAGAAAAGACCGTGTTATACATGAAAGTATCTGTTACGATTCCCTTTTTGTGGGTCCTACTCAACATGTCTATAGCCTCGGTAACTTTCCCAGCACTGCATAAGCTCTCCAGCATAGATAGATACGCATCCCTATCTCCCTTATCATGGAAACTCCACATATTACAAAACAACCTATGCGCTTCATTTGCATGTCCTAATTTACTCAATGTCCGAACGAGATACGCATAGATTGACTTGTTCATGTATTTGTTCGATATTTTCACCACCTCGTCCATTTTACCGAGCTGCCCTTCTGCAGCCAAAACATTGAGAACGAGACTGTAGGTATATTCATTAGGCCTGCAATTGTTTTCCACCATTTTCGAGAAAAGAATCATGGTTTTGTCAGCCAAACGGCCCCTAACAAGTGCCTCAATCATAGTATTGTAAGTCATGGAGTTTGGCTTGCATCCCTTCGATAGCATTTCTTGAAATAAATCTAGCGCCTCGCTCGGCTTGCCCAACCTTCCAATCATCCTTATAAGAATGGTGTATGTATATTCATCAGGTTCGCAATGCTTACTTTTCATATCTTCAAACACCTTGTAAGCATGATCAACCTGACAAGAAGCTGCAGCATATCAGACCATTAGACTGCATAAAACTTGCATTTTTAGCATCTGAAATGCTACATTATACAATTTATTTATCTACTTTTACAAAAAATAAAAAAATAAAAAAAATCCAACAATGAATGAACCTTTTCGTCTTTAGCAAGGGCATGAAGAAGCATGTTGTACCCGAAGCTATCCAGTGTGTACCCTTTCCTTCTCATACGTCTGTAAACCTGCAATGCACGATTCGGATCGCGTGCTCTCAGGTACGCCTGAAGAAGACACTTGTAAGTATAACAAGTCAACTGCAAACCCCATTTCTTCAGCAAATCAAAGCATTTCTCCAGCCCATCAACGCCGTCAAAAGCCCCAATCAAAATATTAACGGTGGAGATGTTTCCATGGGACCCTAATTTCTCCATTAAATCGACGATTTCGTTCATTTTGTCGATCTTGTCGGGGAGAGACGAGCTCGACAGAATCAGCAGAATGCGATTGTAGGTGAAGGCGTCGTGTCGGAAATTAGGGATTCTGGAGGGGCAGAAATGGAAAAAATCGAGGGCTAGTGATGGGGATTTAAGGGATTTGAGTATTTCGGAGACTTCGGAGGGGGTTGGGGTTACGTTTAGGGTTTGGAGGTACTCGTGGAGGTCGAGGAATGGGTCCGGTGAAGAGGCGGAGGATTTCGACTGCAGGATTTTTGTTGCTTTGCAGATGAGTTCGCGGCGGAGGAGAGGATAGCCGCGGAGGTCGGAGGCGAGGGTGGGAGGGGTGACACAGACTTCAATGGCGGATAAGCGGCCGTGGTTGGTCGTTGTAACGACTTTCCCGGTGTATTTGGTGGCGTAGCCGCGGCGGAGGAGGAGGGTTCCGCGGCGGTGGTAGTGCATGGTGGCGGTGGGGCTTTCAAACTAAGGCTTCACTCTCTGTTGAGTGTTGACTGCGGCTTTTGCTTTCGTTAACAGATTTTTTTATTTTAATTTTAATTTTAATTAAACTAAATTATTCATATATTAAGTGGGCCCGAGTCTGGTATCTGTGGGGCCCAATTAGATTTGAATAAATACCCCGTGGAGCGCCAAATTCCCCTATTCTGCAACTGAAATAACAAATTCTCTCACATTTTCTCTCTCTACAACCTCCTCCAATGGCGAATCATTCACCACCACCGTCGCACTCCTCCACCCTGATCCTCCTCCTCCTCCTCCTCGTAATCACCTCCCTCTCCGCGTTCGCATCCGCCGCCGACAGCGTCGGTTCCACCACCACCTTCAAGGAACACGAAACCATGCTGGAATCACTACGAAACCACGGCTACACTCTCTTCACTAACGCCATCGCCACCTCCGACCTCCAGTACCAGCTCCTCCCAACCGCCTCCGCCACCGCGTCCGAAGAAGGAGAAGATCCGACCTCGCCGTTCACCCTGTTCGCCCCGCTCGACAACCTGCTCTACGCCCTCGACATGGCCTCCGACGCCGCCACGTACGTCAACACCCTCCGGTACCACATCGTCCCCAACCGCCGCTACACCTACGGCGACCTTCAGAATCTCACTTCCCCCTTCCTCGAGACACTCCTCCCCAACTACTCCGTTCTGATCGGCAAAACGCAGGAGCGTGCCGCCAACGCGACCGTCAGCGGCGTGATGGTGGATGGGGTTAGGGTTTCGAATCCGGATCTATATCTCGGGTCGAGAGTAGCCGTTCACGGAATTTACGGAATTCTCCTCACCGGACTCAACATGAACCAGGATTTGGGCGGCCACGTCAACAGCTCTTCGTCGGGAATTTTTTCACCTGTGGAATCTCCGGCGTCGTTGCCTGGATCTGACAGTAATAGTCCGTCAGAGGGAAATCTTCTTCCTCCTATGTCTCACTTTGCTTGGAATCATGCTCCGGCGGCCGCGCCTCCAATTGATGAGAAAATTCAGGTAGCAGCGCCGCCTTCTTATATTGTGAACATTCCCGCAGCAGCGCCGCCTTCTATTGAGAATATTCCGGTAGCAGCACCGCCTTCTTATATTGAGAACATTCCGGTAGCTGCGCCGCCTTCTTATATTGAGAATATTCCGGTAGCTGCGCCGCCTTCTTATGTTGAGAATATTCCGGTGGCAGCACCTTCTCATGTTGAGAATATTCCGGTGGCAGCGCCTCCTTATGTTGAGAATATTCCGGTAGCAGCTCCTACTTATATTGAGAATAATCCTGTAGCAGCGCCATCTTATAGTGAGAATATTCCGGCGCCGGTGACTCCTCTCCCAAAAATCTTGAAGGATAAGCCGGAGAAATCAAGAAATTTGGTGAAGAAGAAGAAGCATAAGAAGCAGGGGAAACGTCAGCAGAAGAGTCACGGCCACCACCAGAAGAAGAAACATGGGGGGCACCGCCATTGCCATCTGGAAGATCTGTAAATTGGCAATATGCAAATCTTATTGGGGCTGTAGTGCAATTTTTCAGGTTAGTTGGGGCAAATATGTGATTTTTGTTCAATCAACAAGTGAGAAAATTTGTCATCTATCTTCTACTCGTTGGGAAATTAATTTCTACTTCTGTATTTGCTTCAATTCAAACTTGTGATTCTATACAATAATATGTGATTCTGGGAAAGAGTTTTATCCCCTCAGCTCCAATTAAATACTACTTGCTTAAATAGAAAATTAGTATATATTAATAATACATGTTAATGCATTAATAAGGAAATTCATTCACACAAAATGTAAATAAACGAGTAAATTGCAAATACCACCCCTGTGAAATCTCTAATTGTCAAATACCCCCCTGTCAAAAAAAAATTCGCTCATACCCCCCTATGTAATATTTTTCGAAGCTCACAGCACCTATTATCATTTTAACGGGTTGACTGAAGGTGAAAAGACAAGTCTACCCCTAAGTGGAATAACATAAAATTATAATATATAATTTAAGAGGCCAAATTGGAATTTTGTAAAACTTCTAAAACTTCAATTTGGGGACTAAATTGAAATTTTCCAAAACCCATCTCCCAATTTTCTACAATTTTTTCTCAGCGGCAGCCCAATTCCTCACCTCCTCTCAATTTCCAATCATACTTACCATTCACCGCCGCCGCCCACCACGCACCACCACATCCATAAATTTTTTAGGCTTCTTCAAGCTCGGATTTTTTTGGTGGCGGTGTAGAAGCTCGCGGATCGATTTTGTCGATTTCTGATGAAGGGTCTGTAGATGGCTATGGAATGCGTTTTTGCAGGTCTAAAAATGGCGGCGGGTCCGGCGATGTTGTTGTGGAAATAGAAGGGAGAATTGGAGAGGGGATGGGCCGAGGTTTGGACTCGCTTCTCCCAATTGACGGCAGCTCATTTCGCGGCGGAGGTGCAGCAGTGGGCGGCGGAGGGCCGAAAATTATGACGACTGGGGCGGCGAAAATGGAGGCCCATAAAGGAGTTGTAGCGGAGTAATTTCGCGACCGTCACGAGGGAGTTTTGTAACACCATCTTCATCTTGCAGCCATGGATACTGCTACATGTTGGGATGATGGAGAATGAAGAATGGTACATGTTGGGGAAGATGGAGAATGAAGAACAGGGAGGGAGAAGGGGCTTGGGGGACATTTTTGACATTTCACAATTGAAAATTAAGAAAAAATCGCATTACCAGCGCGTGAGAGACACGATTTTCTCTCAGGGGCCTCAATGCCTTGACTTTGTTTTCACAGGGGGGTATGAGTGAATTATTTTTTGACAGGGGGGTATTTGACAATTAGAGATTTCACAGGGGTGGTATTTGCAATTTACTCGTAAATAAACATAAGCTGACACGAAAAATATATAAAGATTTTGCTTATTTTTAATCCACAATACAAATCAAAGGCAAACAAATCTTGGCAAAAATAAGCTTTTATTACTGAATACAAATTGCGAAAAGGGGTTGAAAGAAAAGCTCTCAACGGGCCTTGGGAGGTGACGGCGGCGGCGGAGGAGGCACGGCGGAGGTGGCGGCGTCGCAGTATCCACGGAGAACATCGCCTTCTTCAGCAGTGTAGCCGAGTGAGCCTAGCATAGTGGGCCAACAGTCACGCTGGATAACTCTAATGGCCCGACAGCAGCCCGGCCCGAGATAAGTTTCGCCGTTGAGGAAGAAGAGCACTACTTCGGCGGTGCAGGATTGTAGCTCTAACAGAGACTCCCAACATTTGGGCGTGGCCCCCCGCACCTCCTCCAACTTAAGTCGGGCTGCTATGGTCGAATACGGGTCGACCATTCGGGCCGTGGCAGTTATTGTTGTTGCAGTAAAGCACATGAGCAGAAGAGCTATAACTGGGATCAGTACTGGTAGCTTGAAAGTGGAATTCATGATTGATTGATTTGTTTGAGTGTGTTTTGTGTATTGATATTTCTTGAATGTAATGCAGCTGGTTTTTATAGTGGAAAATTGAAGAGCAAGGCAAGTGATTTCTTTTTATTTATTTATGTGAATTGATTATTATTGATGAGTGTGGGGGAGAGGAAGAGGCATAATGAATTAATTAATTTGGAGAAAGCTAACCATCAGATAATGGAGGTTTTAATTTCTTTTTTTAACCGACAATTTTTTGTTTAATGATGAAATTAAAACAATATACGGATGGTTTTTGTTTAGTTACTATAGCAATAGGTCCAATACCACTAATACCACCACTAATCTCTGGTTTGCTTAACTATTGGATTAATCTCCTCTTTAACTAATCCAGAAGTGAAGGCCCAAAAACTGAGTCCCACTCCAATTTGGGCTTCTCTTCGCGGTTTGCACCACCGGCCCACGCGAGGGTTTTAACACCCACCGGAGCACAGTAGAGCATTCCGGCGAAGCTAACAATGAGCGCAGCAAATCTACCACGGACGGAGTCTAACGTGCTCCGTGGCCACGAAGGCGCGGTGCTCGCCGCGCGTTTCAACGCCAACGGCGAGTATTGCCTCAGTTGCGGCAAAGACCGCACCATACGGTTGTGGAATCCCCACCGTGGATTGCACATCAAGACCTACAAATCTCACGGCCGCGAAGTCAGAGATGTCCACGTCACCCCGTAATATTCAATTTTAATTGTTGAATTTGCTTGCAGGACTTGTTATTTACTCCGTCTTCTGTTTCGTTGTTTTGGTAGGGATAATTCGAAGCTGAGTTCATGTGGAGGCGATCGGCAGGTGTTTTACTGGGATGTGGCTACTGGTCGTGTTATTCGAAAATTCCGCGGCCATGATAGTGAGGTCAGTACATACTCACTCACACATTTTCCTTGGTGGAAATGCATTCCCTTAATTTGCATTCAAATTACTAGGGTTTGAAATGAACTTGTTGATATTTTTTAGTGTATAAATGTCTTAATCGTCATAACTTTTTAACATTCTGCGGTAAGTAACAATTCTAGGAATTTAGGTATTCTTTGTTTTCAAATATATTGAAATTGAAAATTTGGAATATAGTTATCGTTAATCCAGAACTAGTAGCTTGGAATGGTAGCTTTTGGTGAATCTTTGTTGCACGGAGGTTATTGTGTGCCTTCATTTCTCCAACGCATCTCATATGCTCATACATGTCAATGTTATGCTTATCGATCATCCATAAGTTATTTTCGTATTCTCGTTAGGGTTTTAGCACTTGTGATGGTGTGGAACTCGGGACTAGTGATTCTGAATGTCTTATTTAGAGCTGTATCGGGTCAAAGACATTCACTTGATTAGGGTTTATGCAACTCTATGAGCCTTGAGGATTACCTTTCAGAACTATCTGTCTAGTAAGCTTGGAAAGATGCCTTAAATTTATAATCTCTAACTACATTTGTTCGAGAACATATGTCGTATTGTATTACAAAATTGAAGTATTGAACTAGAGCCAGTTCGCCTGGTTGTGAAGTAAAATTTTAACATTGTATATACTGATTTCTAATGGAACACTTCTTGGTTGAGAATTAAATCTCGATTATATTGGTCCCTTCACATGCATATTTTATGGGGGTCTATTATTTATTGATGTGCCTCTTGTTACCAGGTCAATGCGGTGAAGTTTAACGAGTATGCATCAGTGGTGGTATCAGCTGGTTATGACCGTTCTGTGCGCGCTTGGGATTGTAGATCTCACAGCACCGAGCCTATTCAGGTTCATTTCTTTCCCTTTTTGTTTTAAGTTGAGTCCAGAAATTATATGGTGATTGGAATTTTAGGTAGGCGAATCTTTTTTTTTTTTTTAATGTTGGTGTTTGTTAGAATATTTGGCATTTTTGGTGTTTTGCGAGCAAGGATTAAATATTTTGCTAGCCCTTGCCTTGGAGCTTATCCCTTTCATATATTAGGATATATGAAGACTCAAAGGCCCTTCTAAACCTTATTTTCAGAATGACGACAAGGATCGATTTAATTTTACACATTATTTCATTGTCACGAGTATTTTCCTTGTGAAGCACCATCCATGTATACACAAACTTTCCAGTTATTCTTTTTTGTTTATTTTCTTTCCCCTGTTCGCAGATTGCTACCTCACCCATATATTAGGTCTACTGCCTTCTGGTTTGTTGATGGTATCCTTTTTCTACACTGAATTTGACTTGAAAGATCTTGGGACACTTGCAGATTATCGACAACTTCTTAGATAGCGTCATGTCTGTTTGCTTAACGAAAACCGAGATAATTGCTGGAAGTGTCGATGGAACTGTTCGAACATTTGATATTCGAATGGGTAGGTACGTGGCATTCAAAATGACGTTGAAACGCATGGCATTTCTTTCTTTATTTATTTTTCCGTTTTCTCCATTTTTTAAGCATAAGTTATAATTCAAATATCTGATGTGTAAACTTTCCTTGTTGTGAACAGAGAAATATCAGACAATCTAGGGCAGCCTGTAAACTGTATATCTCTCTCAAACGATGGCAACTGTGTATTAGCCGGTTGTCTTGATTCTACTATAAGGCTTTTGGACAGGTAAATGCTATTTCCAAAATACTCTCGGAATCATCAACTATTCTCTTGTATATTTTACTCAAATAGATTCCTTTTATCTTGGCAGATCAGCTGGTGAATTATTGCAAGAATATAAAGGCCATACGTGCAAGGTTTACCCTGAAACTTGTGACGATGCATTTTACTTATCAAGATATTCCCTACTTACATTAAACATTTTCTTAGTTCCTCGATCACTATTGCGATCATTTCAAATCTTTTTCTTCCCTCTTTCATGTATTTCTTCATCTTCCTTTAAGTATTTTTTTTTTCTGGCTTGAATTTGTAAGCTGTTTAAACATTGTTGTATTTGCATCAGTCATTCAAAATGGACTGCTGCCTAACAAACACGGATGCCCATGTAACTGGCGGTTCAGAAGATGGTTATATTTATTTCTGGGATCTTGTAGATGCAACAGTAGTGTCCAGTTTTCGAGCTCACTCCTCAGTGGTAAACTCACTTTTTTAATTATCCGTTTTTCAAGATATTTATTTCTTCGTCTCCCGTATTCTAATATTCTAGTTCCCATCAAATCAATTGGAAGTTTCATGTGCAAGTTGAATAAGTGGATTGAGGAAAAACAAAATCTTGAAAATTAATCAGACTAATTTTCTCTAATCTTTGTACTATAATTAGTCTACAATTCTCCTCGCTCGGACTAAATTGATTGATCTCTTTACTCTAATACAATGAAGTGTTGTAAGTAATGTTTTTTCCGTGTCTGGTCGACAGGTAACAAGCGTAAGCTATCACCCAAAGGACGATTGTATGATTACTGCTTCAGTTGACGGAACAATTCGGGTCTGGAAATCATGAGACTGAGGTAATAGAACAGCTTCAATTTCATATTGCCTTTGGTATTTTCTTTAATTAACATGACAAAGTAATAATACGTAACTGAAAGTGGACTTAGTATATGCTATTTGACTATTTCATCACTTGTGCGTGTGTGTGTGTGTGTGTGTGTGTGTGTGTGTGTGTGTGTGTGTGTGTGTGTGTGTGTGATGAAATAAATATATGAGAAAACTTTGGCCGCGCAATTACTAAATTGAAAACCACGGCATCAACAAAGTCAAACAATTGTTCATTAAGTCTTTTAATCAAATATAATATTCTTTTATTAAAAGGCAGAAAATTAAACAAAGGGAGCTTTTGCGGAATAAAGTAAATAAAAGGTAGGAGAATTTACGTGATAAAATAAACATATGAAATAGGGTAAATTACAAACACCCCCCTAAGGTAAGGTCAAATTACAAAAACACCCCTCTTGTTTGAATAATTACAACCACCCCCCTCAACTCATCAAATTTAGTGGAATCTTCGAGACTATATGGAATATTATCACTTTTGTATCCCATTCAAACTCTACATTATGAAGCAAGATGATCATAATATGTGATTTTTAGATTGTATATATCAGTTTGTGGTGCATCGGAAACTGTATTTTTTACACAAAAATAGTACAAACTAGATCACATTTCACGGAATCTAGATGACTATGTTGAATTTGGCATCATAAAGGTGGAGGTCTAAGAAAAAGTCATAGTTGAGGGGTAGATGTAATTATACAAACAAGAGGGGGTTTTTTGTAATTTGACCATACCTCAGGGGGGCTGTTTGTAATTTACCCTATGAAATATTATATTACCATAATCGTACATACATACAACTTCCTATCATCTTCGTGGGCACCAACACAAGTGCTTCTCTATATGAAATACACACACTACACGCATTCTCCTCATAACGCGCTTACTCCCTACCCTGGCCCCATCATACTCAAACCTCATAAACACACATATAAACTCAAAACACATAGTCATAAACAAACACAAACACACGCTAAAGAAGTGCGAGATAATAATATATACATTCATATTATATAATTAAGTCTTCGTAAAATTTTAATGGCTTGTTCGTCATCAGAATCAAGGCCCGAGAAAGGTGGTTTTAATGATCAAAAGGAGTTTCATCATTTGAATGGTATGGCGGTGATAGTTGCTAGGACGCTCATACAGTTATTTGGAGATGAAGGTATTAATTATAACGATCAGGCAACGACACCCACCATTGTTGCAATGAAGAAGAAAAAGGGTAAATACTCTAATTATTACAGAGATGCCAAACGGGTCGAAAGAGTAGTTATGAAGAAGCCCAAGTATAGGAGCATTCACAATCTGTACATGACTACAAAGCCAATCAAAATTTCGGAGGGGATGAACAAGTTTTGCAGTTAGAAAAAACTCGAGCAAGTAATACAATTGATTTTTATGCATTCAATGCTTATTTGCCATTTGGGAATGTTTGATGGAATTCAAAAGATAGATTGGATTGGGAGAGAATGCATGAACTAATGTACAAGATGTTAGATTATATTGTAAATTTGAGATTTGTAATTATACAATCCTTGTATGCATGTAATTTTAGGATTGTGCAATCAGTTTTTAACCAGCAAAAAGCACCTAAATCAATTCTTTTCCAGGATGGTATATGAAAATTAAAGAGAGGAACGTAGATATACCAAGTCAAGACAATCTATAAAATTATATGCACATAAGGAAAAGGTACCATTTACTATCGAATATAACAATAATTCTTATCACCATTGTCCCAAATGAAAAGCAGTCAATAACAAAAATTAAAAAGTACGATTAGTCTAAAACAGTTGACAACCACTCATGGCGTAAAATCGGAGAGATTTGCATGAAGCATCATTCGACATTTCATATTGGTTTGCTGGAGAAGTCGGTTAGACAGCACCTTTGAACTTGGCATCATATTCATAAGGTTGCTGCAAGAAACAAAAATTCAATTGAACTCATTAAAACGATATTCTTTTAACCAACTAAAATTCATAATGAACGGAAAAAAGAACAAATTTTTCCCTCCACGACATTTATCATTGATAAATTCAAGAAATGGACAAATCTACCCAATTCTAGTTGCAAACGTACACTACTAGCTTTTATATTTTAATAACTTCAGGGGGGAGGAAGGTTTTTATAGATTAAAGCACGTTACCAAAAATATGGCTGAGATCAATTTACGAGCAAACCATCTTTTGTGCATCGCTTGTTGAGCACGTGCTGCCCCTTCCACACTTTCAAACCTCAAATATACGTAACCAGCAGTATTCCTGCAAGTTAAAAGGAACTATTAAATTGCATAAATAAAGTCTTTTTGATGAGAGAGAAATAAGGATGGCATTGTGACAATCTGGATATAAGCATCATTGAGGGGTGAAGTGAAATTAACCATTGCGTGCCGGGGTAAAATTTGAAATCACTGAATCTCATGAAAATCAGCTTAATATATCAATTTGTTTTTTCTAAATCATATCAAAAATGAGTATGTCCTTAGTTACTTACTTGTCGACATAGATATGCTTCACCCTCCCATACTTGGAACATTCTTCTTCTACATCATCTTTGATGTCCAGGTCAAACTCAGGATCCTCCTGAAATATCATTGTCATTATTTTAAAGGAAGTTCACAACGGAAAAAAAAAATAAAAAACCAAGACTTCCTTGCACTGTGAGCACCAGAAAGCATAGGCATGTGATTGACTAACCTCAGTGGCTGGATCGAACATATTCTTCAACAATAAACACTCACTGGGGGTTCCAATAGGTTCTGGAGCCATGGCAATAACTTGTGGAGGAAGAACTGCATTTGGAAATACTGTTGGATTGATAGGCATTGTGACAGATTGTTGTAAAGGAGCTGATCCATTCAGTGCAGGTACTCCAAGGGGGGCGACAACACTTCAAAAGGAACAGATCGGGATTCAGACTTACAAACATGAGAAAAATATTAATCTAACACAATCTTGTGCACAAACCTTGAAGCTATGCCACTCCGGTCAAGCTTCGCCATGAGCATTGCTCTTGACTGAGCGTTTAAAGCCTGTGAAGATTGTGGAAATAAAAAATCAGAACATAAGAAATACCATAAATCTTGAATGTTTTATAATTGGGAGTTTCAGTTTGACTCCTCCAGACATTTGCTTTAAGGAAAAATAAATAAATTAACCCACCTTTAGAATCTACAAATTAAATTTATGTTTGATCAAATATAACTTTCCGAATACACAATTTGTGGGCTGATTAACCTAGTACAAAAGGTTATACTCACCAAACCACCACCATCATCATCGTCAAAATCAGCGGTTTTTGTTCCAGAATCTTGTGCCGCAACATGGTCCGTAACAGAGGATACCTGAAGTCAAGAAAGTCAATAAAATTAAGCCTGCATAAGGACACTCCTATAACATGAATATTTCAAAGCAGATATAATCCATGTTGAAGAACTAGCAAATATCAACCGCAACATGGAAAACCGAAATCTGAACATGATACCTTGATGGTCCGGCCTGCAATCTCCAATTTCCCATTCAAACTTAGAGCTGCTTTTGAATGTTCAAGTTGGGCGAACTGCAATGGTATTAATACTCTTAGTATCAACAGAGAACTCTTAGGGACTGAAACAAACATACCTAACGGCATTGACATCTAGTAAATACTCACTTGAATAAACCCAAAACCTTTGCAATGTCCTGTTTCTGGATCTGTAGGAAGTTGCACAAGTTCAACAGGTCCAAATGCTTCAAAAATCTGAAAGAGAATCAAAATAAATCTTCCAACATTTGAGTAGTTGAAAACAAACACTACGAGGCAACAGTTAAAGTGGTTAAACAGGCAAATGCTTCAAAAATCTAGATATAGTCAATATCAATCTTTGAATAGCTGAAACCAACAAAAAGCAGAAAGATAACTAATTTCAGAATAAAAAAATAATATAACAATGGCCTGTTGCCTGTTCTCAGATATATATATTTTCAAGCAGCAAAGTAGGCATTAGAGAACAAGCTACAATAAATACCGTAGAAGTAAATGCAGAAGGCCCAAAAAAGAAAGAACAGATAAGATACAACAGATGAACAGACCACTCATGACAGTATAAGGAAGAGATTCAATAAAAATTTACCCATCCGGGCATATTTAAGAACAAAAACACTTCTGAGCAAATAGACTGATGAAGTTACAATTATAGAAACTAATTGTTCTCAAACATAATTATTTAGGACATTGACCAAATGATCAAATGCCTCTCTAGTCACAGCGACAGGCCCTCAACGGCCCTCCCTAGCATCCACTAATGTATTCTTCAGCAAATTCGATACTAAGAGAAATGCTACTCTTTTTTTAAATCCAGTTCATTGAAAAGTCGATTTATACGATGAAAGCTAAGCATAAAAGTTTTTCACTGCAAGAAGTGCTAAGACCATGAACTGGGTCACCAAATAGTGCTAATTCTAACAAACAGAGGCTGGCCTTTATTAGTTTCTCTTGTTCATCTTTTGCAAATAAATTTAGATGAAGTATAGGCCAAAATATGTTATGGTTGAAACAGACGAACACCACCAAATTAGGGATCTATTATCTACCCAACTTTTCAGTTGCTAAAATTAACAAATCATAGCATAACTGTTAAATGCTTGCTTAATAGGTAACATGAAAAGGCGACATGCCTGTTTAAGCTGAAATTCTGTCATGTTGAAATGCAAATTGCCAACATAAAGCTTCCTATCTGTTGCACCATATGGGCCAGCAACTCCTGCACCAGCGGTAGAGGTATTTGATTGAACAAGATTCTTTTCTGCCTCTGAAGGTTTTACCATTACAGGTTGACCAAGAAATAGGTGGCCAGATAGAGCTATAGCCATCGGTACAGACATGACATCATAAAATTCAATATACCTGTCACAAATAGGAGTTGCAATCAATAGATGAAAAGATCAACTCATAGAAAATCAAATATATCTCAACTATTACGCTAAAATATGCCAGAAGGAAGAGACTCGGAGAATTTCACAATGATACTACACAATCTGTAGTGGATGAACATATAAACAGAAAACTAAATGGAAGCTGCAATTTGCTCCAAACAAATTTTAAATTCGAGGAGCAGCGCTAATTAGAAAAGAATTCAAGCTTAGAATTATAATTTTGTGGATAGAAGATATTAATGGTTTTATGAAAAATCAATTTAGCTGGGAGGGAAAGGAAATAACAGAACTAAAAAATAAGTGCATATAACATACCCAACTCCTTTTGATCTCCTCGAGTTTCGATCCATAATTAGTTTAACATCCCTCACCTGAAGCCAAAAAGTGGAGAAGTATAAATTCAAGAAACGAAGTAAATAAACAAAACAAAAGTAATAAAACCCATTTCATCACCCTACTAAACATTTTGCAGAAGGAAAGCAGTGAAAATGGCAAATTCCAACTTAATTTTCAGATGAAGTCACTGTAATACTTCTTATAGAACTCTGAGTTTCACTAACAGCAATGGATGAAGACACGCCAGAAGACTTCTCCATAAGGAGGAAAAAAGAGCGACAATGTGGACCAAACGATTAACATAACAAAGTTGAAAATTCTGAAGCATTTCACTCATGAAGACTGAAAATATTTCATGATAATCGTCACCAACCTTTCCAGCTTGTGAAAAGAATTCAAAAACATCTCTCTCAGTTGCCTTCAGTGGCATCTGCAAACAAGAAACATCGTACAGTCATTATTAGTAATATGATCAAAACGATGCAGGAGATTAAAAAAAAATGTGTGACAAGATACTGAATATTGGCATCTAAAGACAAAACCCATACTTGATATGCAAAAACAGTTCGCTGGTCCCTTTCTGGGTCAGCTTCAGGCTCCATGGCTTCTTTTTTATCCTTGAATCTCCTGCATTAAGAACTCAAATGGTAGAGTGAGAACAAACCCAACAATAGAGACACTCCATTAATACAGCCTAATTAGTCTGCCAGAGACTCCATATAAGATATAATCTCAACCCATTTTCATATTCCCACGGAGTTGAAGTACTTTCACCCACAAACTCTTGCCACCACACTTCTGAGTTCCAATTCACAAGGATAATCCTAAACCAGTTTTAATAACAAGTCAAATGAGAAAAAAGACTGAAGATATATGATTAGATTCATCCTAACACGCCCTTATCACCGAACAGCTAAATATTATAACCATACCGACCACAGCAGATGAATAATAGATGGAGAGCATGAAAAAAATATTAACTCCATCCCTGAAAAATGTGAGCAATAAAATTGCAATTATGTACAAAACATTGAATATTTCAAGTTCATTCAGTGAAAAATAGCAGTATCGAAGCTTTATGATCTGGTTGCCTACAAAAACTTCTTATACAACCTTAAGTATGGCCACTTGTTACGATTAGCCATTTACAAAATATTCAAGTTACAGCTTCAAGCCTAGTAGTGCAACACGATATTAAGAAATCATTCAGAACATTTTTCTAAAATACAGCGTAGGTAAGATATCTAATGATATTGCAGCCAGGGCAAATTTTGCCAGCCAATCTCCATTCTATCATTTCTAAGGAAATGTGTAATTCATAAGTTAATATCCATTTGTCAAATATATTACAAAAGTTTCAAACAAGTCGAGTTAATAACTAAGACTAGTCCAAACGTCTTATATTCGTGGACGGAAGAATGAAATTTAATATTTAAAAACCCTGTTCAGAGCAAAGGGAAAGCCACAATTATGTAGCTAAGCAATTTCATCTTCAAAGTGAAGAAAAGGTTGGAAAACTGATACAGCTTCACCACAAGCGTTGCCAACCTAAAAATTGAATACACCATTTGTCAACATCTCAGCTCAGATGTAAGAAAGTAACCTAAATCCAACTATAAGAAAACATTAGAAGGATGGAAGATGAGCCAAATCTGAAAGCTCAAAAACATAGAAACACAACAGACCTTATCGACCACAGTATGTGGAAATCCACCTTCTGAGAAGAAGCCTTCCAAGGGGTTTCCGCATTGTTAGCCCATTAAGATGCAAACAATCCATCTACGATTTCAACCCAAGTTAGAATACTATATCCTCTATGCATAAACTCAGTTTTGTTTTTTCTGCACTTAGACCCTTTTATTGCAATTCCTTCATGTTACAACTCTACCCCCAAGACCAAGGGGAGAAAAAAATATACTCAGGTCAATATATAAGTGTGGCACCATATACATTTTTGTATTTTAAAACCACAAAAAGCTATAGATGGGACCTATCTAGTTCATTTTAGTCTATACTTTTGCCTAGAGGCTCTAGACATGATTGCTTCATACAAGTACTAAACTCAGCTACCGAAAGTGTCATCTACAGCAAACTGTAACTAAAATTCTCAAGTCCAAGATATTTTAATAAAAGTATAAAACCACACCTAACTTCCAAAGAGAACGAAATGCATCGACAATACTAAGTTCTCAAGGTTTGGCAATAGACAAAGGTGCAACGAAAGATTTCAAATCTAATTTGTTTGTATGAATTAACAACTTAAAGAGGAGGGTGGAAACAAATCGTAACGACACACTTAATCGAGTGTCTTCGAATGCGCAAACTACACAATATTGCACACAGAAAAATGAAATCAATCACTAGTTTTGATTACCATATTACTTTCAATGTATGATCAGTTAACATTAGATTTCACATATAACATATGATGGGGAACAAAACTACTCAAATTATTTGAAACAGATGATAAGATAAAATTCCATAGAGAAAAAAAATGGTGTAAGGCATTACCTGCTCTCCTCCCGCTCTCTTTCCCTCATCAACTCCCTCTCTCTATCGTGCTCCAGCCTCGACCGACTTCTACTCCTCCTTTCCCTTTCCCTCTCCCTTTCCTTCTCCTTATCCCTCTCTCTCCTCTCTCTCTCCCTCTCCCTATCTTTCTCTCTCCTCTCTCTATCCTTATCCCTCGAGATCCGCCTCTCTCTGTCAGAATCTCTCTCTCGACTCCGGTGGCTTGAGCTCCTCTCCCTCCGCCTCTCTCTGTCTGAATCTCTCTCTCGACTCCGGCGGCTTGAGCTCCTCTCCCTCCGCCTCTCTCTGTCTGAATCTCTCTCTCGACTCCGGTGGCTTGAGCTCCTCTCCCTCCGCCTCTCTCTGTCCGAATCTCTCTCTAGACTCCGACGGCTTGAGCTCCTCTCACTCCGCCTCTCTCTGTCGGAATCTCTGTCACGACTCCGACGGCTTGAGCTCCTCTCCCTATCCATATCCCCATCTCTCTCCTTCTCTCTGTCACGCCCATTATCTTCACTCCGTGATTTCTTGCTGCTGATCTTCCTCTCCTTTTCTTCTAGATCAAATTCATCGTCTTCGGTCCTGTTTCTTCTTCGGTGCCCCTTGTCGCTCTTTTCTCGATCATTTCCCTTGTCCGGAGTTTCATTCTTCGCCGGGCCGTTTGTTTCTTCCACGGCTTTCTCCAGGTAATCGTACTCGTCGAAATCCATCCAATTCCAATTCAGAGATTCTGAATCGACGAAAAGAGACCCTGTAAATTAATGGATTATCTTATCGAAAACCCTAGGTCGTTGGAATTTACAACAATTTAGGGTTTTTGGTGGATATGCGAAAATGGTGAAGGACAAAATGGGAAACTCTTTTAGAATCTGATAATGCTCTTTTGTAAACTGTAGTTATTGGATTGGGCTATTGTGGACGTTTTAACAAAAACATGAATAATAATAAAATATATAAGGCAGCGACTATTTGCAAGACGAAATTTACTTAGTGCAAGACCAATTTAATTTTTTTTATTAAATTCAGTATAAAAGGACTATAATAACCTTAATAAAATACAAACAAAAAAAAATTATTTTATGAATTTTCTTTTGCAAGACCAATTTAAAAAAAAAAATTAATAAAACAAAAAGAAAAAAGAAATTGAATTGACAAAATCAAAACGAGGAGGGAAGATTGAAGAAAACAAAAAAAATCAATTGCAGCAAAAAACCGCCCGTCGCCCGCCGCCCCGTCGTCGTCGCCGCCGTTGAAGTCCACCGCCGTCGCCCGTCGCCGTTGAACTCCGTTGTTGCCACAACCCCGCCGCAACAATCTCACGAAAAACAAGTAAAAATTACTTTTTGAATTAACTTTTTTTTGAGAAATAAATGTGATAAACATGATTTTATTGTTAGAATAATGAATTCAAGTCGTTTTAGAACATAGTTGATGATTCTAGGGTTCGATTGTAGCACTATTGTTGAAGGAGTTGCGATTTTACAAAAATCGACCTGTACTTGTCGTTTTTTTGGAAAATTTTCGACACACAATTGTAACAGTGATAATTCGACACACTAGCGTCGAAATATCCGCTTAATATCGACACCAGAATGTCGATAATTTCAATATAATTCGACAGTTAATGAGTGTCGAATTATTTTGACATTTTCGACACTGCAGTGTCGATATAAAGCTGATATTTCGACCTGTACATGTCGATTTTTTTGTACGTGAAATGAGGTGCGAAAAACGAGAAAAACGATCACAAAGTACAATATTTCTTACCTCTTTGTGTTCTTCGACCTTAGAATCCTCCATATTTATGTCTTGTGTATCCATAATGTCCTTCTTTTCAAGTTTTAGTAAGATTTGAGGGTTTTATGTGATAAGGGTTTTGGAGAATATGGAAGATTTTTTTGTGGAAAAAAATGTGTAAAATGAGGGTGAAGAAGAAGATGTTGGTGTTTTTGTTGGGTGAGTGAGTTCCCTCTCTTTTTTCTTTTTTCTTTTTTATTCTTTTTTTTGTATTTTTTTTTGATCTTGCAATAGCAATTAACTTAATTTAAATTAATAATATCTAAATTATTATTGGGGTTATATTTGTAATTTCCAATCTTGATCTTAGTAAATTTATTTATATTTTGGTCTTGCATGAAGTAAGGTCTTGCACTTAGTAATTTTCGTCTTGCAAATATCTGCAGCCAATATATAATTGTCAAGTTGGGCTGAAACTGAATTAGTAGGGTAAATTTTGAAAAACCCCTGAACTTACGCTAAATAACAAAAAATACCCCCATCTATTCGTAATTACCAAGAATCCCCTAAGGCTTGTTTCCGCCATACACCAACCCCTTACAGTGTGACTTTTCACCTGAGAATAGGCTTTACATAATTTCAGATAAGGTGTAATAGACTGTACTATACATTTTCTTTATTAGAGGGGTTTTTTTTTTATTACAGATAGGTAGGAGTGTTTTTCATTATTTATCCAAAGTTCAAGAGAATTTTCGTAATTTACCCTAGTTTTTATGCTATTGACTTATTATATAGCAACTTTGAGATTTATCTGCCACTTAAACTCAAAGCATTCAACGTAAATATAACATTATAATTTTAAATTAATATTTCATAAATCATTTTATTGATTTTTCGTCTTGGCCTCGCATGTAATGATGGTCATTTGGGTTCAAGTACTCAATATCCTAACCGCCCCGACGAGGTATGGTAAATGAGTCGAGCCGACTCGTAATGAGCCTCCTCGAAAAAAGCTCGAACTCGAGCTTTCTGACGAGTCAAACTCGAACGTTTTTCTTTCTAAATAGATCTGAAACAAGTTTTTAAATACATCAAGATCTCTCTTAAGCTCCAGATATCTAAAATAAAACATCACCCACATCACAAAGTTCTCTAAACACAATGATAACTACGAGCAATTAACAAGTACAAGTATCACTAATCCATGTTTCTCGTCAACAAATGTAAATTCTTGATTCGTCGAAAAGAATAAATCATTAATAGAGATTATAAATGGAAAGCCAAGTGATGAATTGAAGTTACACATAAGAAACCTCTCCGAAATGCCCTAACGAGCGGGAACGAAATTATAATTCTACCTCTCGACATTAGAATCAATTTCCCTTTTCTTTCTTTTTTTTTCAAACTTTGAGAGCAGCTTTGTGAATCATGGTCTCTTTGTGGATTTGGTGGCAACTCTTCTCAACGAGATCAAGCAGTTTCTCCAAATTCGTAGACCACAAATTTAGAATGTCGTTGCTGTCTTTAGCTGTCTGGAAAGATACTACACCTATCGGTCTATCAATCTTCGCCACTAATGCTTTGGACACAACCATCTCAGACAGATGTTTTTCAGTTTCCTATGTTTAAAAAATAAATGAGATAGACAGAATGCCATGAATAAAGATGCAAAAATACTCTGTACATAAAAGTCGAACATATATAAAATATTATTGACAATAAATTATTAGGTGTAAGTAATTAAAGTTCACAATGAAAGAGCATTTATTTTTCTCGCGAAAGAAATAAGAAGGTTAATACAAACTAGTTTCATACAAACTGATTTGATTTGATTGATATTAAACATAGTGTTCCGAATGATAGTTTCAGATTTACGGCAAATATTTATAATAAACAGAGTGCAGACTGACCTGGAAAGTAAGGCACAACAGATCTGCTAGTCTCTGTAATGTTATCCTTGAGTAATATTTCGAGACAACAAGGATGTTCTGCAAGGAAATAATCTCATAAAAAATACGAAAATCAACACAATAACATTATCATTGATGATGCAGTCAGTAAAGTAAATGATTGAACATAGCAAAAAAAATCGAGTTCGAGGAGCATTACATGTTCTATTACTCTGAGTCTAAGATCTTCGGCCGCCTTTTCACCCAAAGAACCACCAAGCATGTTCTTCTCATTCTCAAATTCATCTTTGAATGTGTTCCACAAAGCTGTCCATTGAATCACCTCCATAGTAACAAGTTGTTTCAACAGTGACCTAGTGACGGGGAAGAAGAAAAAATCAGTGAATCTTTTTATTTATTTATTATTTTTTTCACTTAATTCAGACGGGACAATAAATTATAGGTTATGTAAAGCACAAACCTGAAATGAGAAATTTCTGAAAGGTTCTTATCCTCCAAGGTTGAGTTCAGAAGGCTAGATTGCATAGGATCATGAGGTGAGAGGACCAAATACCAGCATATTTTTCTCAGTACCTGCATGAAATATGACAAAAGCCAAAACAACAGATATCATAGTTAAGAAAAAACGAAGTGCGGCAAACATTTTAAATTAAATATTAGCTAACAATAAGTTAATAACTATAATAGACCATTGAAGAATACAAAATAGATGTATTACCGGTATCCACTCAGCTGGGTCCTCTTTAATAGATGGAATCTCATATATCGACTTGTAACATCGGCATATTTCGAGGTAATCGTTGCTATGCGAGTAATACCTGCATAATGGAAGTGTCAATTATATATTTTTGGTACATATAAGCCAGAGCATTGAAAAAATGATATTGCATGAAGCAGCCAGCAGGCAAAAACTACTTGAACTTGCACACACTGACATAAATCCGTATTCCACGTTAAAAGGAAAGAAACAATTTTCTTTGATCGTTAAAAATCCAAAATGGATGTCATGAAAAAACAATAACAAAGCTTGCAACAATTTCAATTTGAATACATCATCCTTCGTATATATCTTTTTGTGGCATAAATATGTATACGGCCATATGGGACTGTGAAGAATGCCGTGTTTGCATTTACAAAGAGTTACAGTTTTGCACTTACACCCAATTTAAGAGAATACTAGAACCACAGAATTATGGAATTGTACTGTGTTTGAGAGATACTCAACCCAAGCTACAAAAGTATAAAGCAATGTAAGAAAATAAAGATAAAAATAGGGCATACCGAATCATCAATTGGTAGTATATGCGCTTCAACTCCAACAATGATGGAATATCAGCAGGAGCCTCTTCAACGATACTGTCACCTTCTTTCTTCTTCTTTTCTTTTGAAGGATCAACTTCAAAAACCCTAGTACTTATCTTCCTTGAGAGTATTTGTGCACGCACATAATCCTGGCGATCTAAACATAAACGAACCTACAAAATGGAATATCAAGTGCCAGAAGAAATCAGACCATATTCCCATTCCAAAATATTTCCAAGAAAGAGATGGAAATGAAAGAAACTACATACTTGCTCAAGTATGAAAGCTATTTTTTCAGTTTTCGCCATAGCGCCAAATGTCTCCACCTATAGCTCAAATTGTCAGAAAAGCACAGAATGAATAAGAGACCCGGTACATAACCAGCCCATCAGGTAAGAAAAAACTTAAGGTTAATGAGAACAAATTATGATGCACCCACCGCAACTTCTTGCATCAAATCCGCAGCTTCGGCTATCTGCCCTTGCTCTTCCTTGATCTTTGCGAGTTTCTTGATTAACCTAGCCCTCTCTATCTCAACGTATATCTGTAGTACGATATCATAACTTGAGAAATAAAGCAGGGAAAATTGAAGTCCTTATAACAAAGAAACGGAAACTAGATTAAGCGGCAAGAATCACCTTCCCAGCAGATATGTTGTTAAGTGTCTTTATAAGCTCTATTTTAGTGTCAACATCTGGCGTCTGGTCAATATATAGCATTGCTTGTTGGACCATTGCTTGTACAGCCTGCACAAAAGGCACCCCCAAAAATGAACACGGTGCAATGACTATTCTCCAAAACCCCCAACATCAAGGTAAACTGTAAAGATGAATATTTCAAAATCTTCATTCTGCATCTTGTTATGGTTTTACATTTCATATATATGATCACTAATCAGTGAATCAATGCAGTATAATAAAATGGCCAGTAAGAACACACGTGACGGACACCCAAGAGCATCTTTATTTCTTTCATCTTAATTTGTATTCATGTTTTTAACTCCGAAAAAAAAAGGAATTGTGATGTCATAGGTAATAAACGTGACAAGAATCAACCGGTACAACCTTAAAAGTAAAGAATCATCTTAGTTCAATCCATGAAACTCAAACAAAAACCAATAACAAGAAACGAAAAAAACAGAACCAAAAAACTGAAATTTAACTTTTGGTTCCTACCAAATTTGAACGAATAAAAATCCAACTGCAGATGACTGTAAGAAAAATCTTAAACTATAAACAATTATCACAAATGTCACTGATGCACATGTTTCAAATAATTCAACCATAATTTCAATTAAACTATAAGAAATACAGATATCATTAACCAATAAACCATAAATAAACATATACGAGTAGGATCAATCAGACCTGCTTCAACTGTCCCCGGCGCTTGGAAATTAGCACAATCTGCTCGTTCAGTGTGTTCCACGCGCCGGCCTCAAAGCAGAGCAGCAAAATATCAGTCACGGCCTTTCGTATGCCTGCCACGTCACCCGCCTGCCTCATCTGCTTCTCCACATTCAGCAAAAGCTCTATCTGCGCCTCCAAATTTCCCCCTCCATTTTCCTAAAACAAAAATTGGACGCAGAGAGTTTGAAATTCACAGTACGGGAGATCTGGATCGAGTGAGAAAATACGGAACAATTGCTCACCATTTTGATTGGATTGAAGAAATGCGGAATTTGCTGCAACAAAGTATTGGAAAATCGAAACCCTAGAGAGAGAAAGGGATGATATGTGTCTCAGCTAGCAAATGTTCTTCACAAAATTTCTATTTGATTTTCAATTTTATTTTTATTTTATTTTTTTAAATATAGCCGCTTTTCTTGGAAGAGAGGATACTTCAAGAACAAGGGGAGTATCTCTCTTCTTATTGCTGGATGACCCCTGAATTAAAAGTAAATGACAACGAACGCCCCAAGATTTGACCAATTTGTGACGGACTCCCAAACATTTGAAATAGTTAACACAAAGATCCCTTTAACAAACACTTATCTTGAAAAACAAAATTCACTCATTATTTAGTTACTTATTATAGGGTGTGTGGCTAAGATTATAAACATTGAATTAGTACTTTGTTAATTAGTATTGGTAATAGTAAGGATTGAAATTTGAAATTTTACGTAAATCACGACCATTGTAAACTGGTATTGTTCGTTGGGCCGTTTCGCTTCAAATAAAGTTGGTCTCGAACCCAAACTGAATAATTTTTCAATAAGCCCACTCAAAAACATTTTTTCCTCATAGCTCTTTCCCATCATTAAAAATAAATTTTGTATATATGTGTTAGAAATTGCACTTCTACATATGCCTCTCAACAATCATTCTGGTTGTAATTATCTATTATGATTTATGCCACTTTGCATCAATTTGCCCTCTTCATACTTAGTGTTGTTTATAACATAAGATATTAAGAAGGCCCGGGCATAAATAAATATGGTGATCCATATCTCATCAATTTTGGCCGGATCACAATTTTCCGGGCTCACTTAAAAATATGTTCGGCTCAAATATAACCGGGCTGAGCTGTCGGGCTTCAGTTAGGCCCGACTCAATTGCGGGTCCTTAATCACAACTTGTTTGATTATATTGCGGCCAACACTAAACTAAGTTGAATTAGACCTATATATCAAATGAAGAAAAAAAACGATCTTGATTATTAGAAGATCAAGCTCATGAATTAAACCTTATAATACAAATCTTTTCGTTCGGAAATATATTTTAAAACTGGAGATCGAATAACTTCAGTTCTTATAAGCAACATCAAATTTATTCGTTCCTTAAGTGTATATATATCTTCGCTCAAGAAAAGATAGTTAAACCCAATAGCTTAGCGATATTCTTGCCGAATTCGACCGTTTCATTGATGTCAAAACAAAACAAGCATACACTGGAATATATAATTTTCAGTATGTATGTATATATACACACACACACTGCACGTGTCTTTATAATACATCAGCAACATATATAATGTTGTCTCCTTTATTTTACAATTTTACAATGTTTCTTGGGTTTACCTGAAAACCCTAGCTTGGCTTCTATATATATATCTATATGTGTGTGTGTGTGTGTGTGTGTCTATATATATATGCACTCTTTAATTCTTTCTGTATATCATATAGTATGTATATATCTAATGTGTTCTAATGTGTGAATATACAAATTAATATATATTATATGACACTGCCCACACATATATGATATATATATCCACGAAATATTCATCGGTTTCTAGTTATGAATCGGAGTTTTCTTTCGTGCAGGAGTGTAATCCATTGCTGCCAATTGTTCAACGCTCGCACCCATTTCTTCTCCTTTCTCATTTGCAACCTCATGATTTGCGGTTTGACGAGTAATCTTCACTCCTAAATTTCTTGCTGCAAAACGAAAAATTAAATTATAGTTCATGCAAATCAAAACCCTAATATTGAATCTAACGAATAGGTATAGAAGAAGTACTTATATACGAACATAAAGAAGTTCAACAAATTAATCGAATGAAATAAACGGAGATTATTCGATCGTATTACCTTGAGTAGTGCTGGTTGAGATCATGAAGCTGCAAATCAAGAAAAGGATCACCAGAAAAAAGTAGTGCTTCGTTGGAAAAACAGCCATTTCAGAAGTCTACGGCAATATCGAAAATTAAATGATCTTTGAGTAATTAAATCTATTTCGGTTTACCGTTTTCGACGATTGCAAATTAAAGAAAAGACCTATCGTATTTATAGACAAACAAACTCCGAAGATGAGGTATCGTAAATATACATATATATCATGAATGAAATGTTATCGAAATGTCAATCTTGTCGAATTCTCTGTCACCAAAAGAACATCAAAACCCTTATAGGGGCCATATCATTAATGTCTAATTAAGTAATATATTTGTATTATTATATTTTTATTTTATTTTATTTTATTTTCGGACATGTTATTTTCTTGCTTGGAAATATGCTTATTAATAATGAATGGAATTTAAGGTTAAGGGCAGTATAATATCTAAATATCAAGACCAATCATATGCTTGGTCTCTTTGTAATAATGAAATATAATTATAAGTAGGAGTATCAATTTTCTACATGGTTTTGGTAGATAGATATATAATTAATTTGACCTTCATTGTCCTTATTATGCAAAAGTCTTACTCCATAAAACTTATTACAGAACACAGAACGGAAACACGGTAAAATAATTAAATTTCTATGAATTAATTCTATAGAACAAACTAATTTTCGGAATCCACTGAAAATTCTGGAATCCACTAGAACATAGAGAAAATTCTAAGGATTTTTATTAAAATTCGAAATTCTTCACAAAATAAAGTCCTAAGGCAGCTATTTATACTAATAAAACTGAAAATCCTAATTAAACTAAGAAAATACTAAAAATTACCAAAAAAGACAAAAAAACGAGTTAAAGCCTGATTATAGTAGATCTCGTAATTTTGGGAACAACCCAATTTACGGAATCCTAATCCAATTTTTCTATGATTATATATTAATTTTCTAAAACTTGCCTAAAATAGGAAAAACGAGCTTTTAGGAGTTTAAACGACGTTGATTGCTGAAATTTGACGTGTTGTATAAGATTTGCTCATGAGTTTTGTTTCTTGCGCAGTCTCACTCTCACCTGTGATATAGTTCGTTTCGTACTCAAATACAATTTGAGTTCGTAGAAAACCCTTATTTTCCCACAATGTCTTTCGGTATTTCCACCAATGCCCATTAATAATCATTCTCCGAATTAAATAGTTGTTTTGCAATTCTAATCCAATTTGACGGTCCGTATCATTATATCTAGTATATATATACTACGGTTAAACCTCCATAAATTAATACAATTAGGACCAACCAAATTATAATATTCTATTAATTTAGCGAAATATTAATTTAATTATCGAACTATTTAAACTGAAGGTTATTAATTTATCGAGATTATACTGTAATTGCAAATAGAAAATATAAATATACAGCATGCATGTAACTGGTTATTCGATTTTTTCCACATTATTAAACAAGAAATATAAGTATAAAAAACTAATTAAACCAGCTACTTCAACTCATTCATATACAACTGAATGTTAAAACAAATTTGATATTATGATCTCATCAAGCTTATACATCTAATCAAGCTCATGTCTATATATATACAATATTCAAAAAAATATGTAGTATAGACAATTATTGTGAGAGAGACAAGAATGGGCCGTGCCCTAATCCATGAAGGCTGCTGCCCTAATGAGAAAATCACGTGGCTTTCATCATCTGTATGGCCACTCCTTGTCGCCTCCACCACACCAGGCATGTAGGACACCTGGTGGATCCGGGTCGGGTCACTATGATTCCGGTTAGTGGTTATTAGCCAACCACGTCGAGCCACTTGGAGCAAGTCGACAAATGCAATTAATTCATCGCAAACAAGTTTTAAAATTATGTCGACTTTTTGTCTTGCAAGAGAGATATTGCTTGGAAAACTCAAGAATTAGGATCTCCCTATCTATTTGGTTGATTGGATGGGGAATTAATTAGAACTACATGTACAGTAGAACCTCGACAAATTAATATTCGATAAGTTAATAAACTCAATTAAATTATTAACTCGATAAATTAGTAATTCGCTAAATTAATCGAATTTCTCTAGTCCTGACTGTATTAATTTACAGAGGTTTAACTGTAGTCGGCTAGGGGTAAAATTGGAAATTAATCACATAAAATTAATAACAAACACCATAAATTATGTGATTTTATCAAGATAAATGTATACCTTATAAAGCATGATCGGTCCCACGGTCAGAGAGACCGTACACGAAAATAAAAATAAGGCATTTAATATTTTCTTATACTAAATAAAAATTTATAAGAACTGGTTTATATAAATATGGAGACTGATTAGTAAATCACATTATGAAATTAAAGTTTGATCTAATTATTCCTTAATTATTGCAATTAGCAACCCATCATTTGTCATTGATCAATACTTCAACAATCATTTTAGACTGGGACTGTTCACCGGTAGCCAGTCAATCATAAGATTCATTACAAGAAAACAAACCCTATATAAGATATCATTGCATAATTTATATAAAATTTTTTTTTTGGGTTAAATACAGTTTGCACCCCTAAAGTATACCCTCTGTAACACTTATCCCCTTAAAGTATCATTTGTAACACTTACCCCCCTCAAGCACAATTTAATTTGTATTTTAAATTTTAACACCTTAAAAAATTGTTTTATTAAAAGGAATAACTAAAAGAATAATTAAATTATACAACTAAAAAAATCTGTTGAAAAATACAATATTTCCAAATTTATAAATATTATCTTACGTTGGATACTTATTCAATAAATAACATCTAATTGTTGTTGAACCAATTAATCAAAAATACTCTATCAATAAATTTTAAGAAATCAATGCATAACTAATAGAAGTCTTAAGTATTTAAATTTATTTTAGTTCAATAATTTTTTTAAATATATTTTCATTCATTATTACCCAATATATATTACTTTTTAATTTTTTTTCAATAATGAATTTTAGTTACTTTTCAATTTTCTATGAACCGTTAATTATTAGATTGTTATGTTTATTATTTTTTAAATTTTAAAATATAAAATAATTGATGTGGAGGGGGTGAGTGTTACAAATGATACTTTAAGGGGGTAAGTGTTACATGAGCTATACATCAGGGGTGCAAAGTGTATTTAGCCCTTTTTTTTTTAAAGAATGAATGTGGCACTTTATTACCGGGACCGACCCATCTGGTAGTCGTCCAACCACGTCGCTGAGCCGACAATTCCAATCACATTTTT